CCCCCCCCCCCCCCCCCCCCCCCCCCCCCCCCCAATAATCGGTAAGCTTGCCTTAGTAACTTTCCAAGGACTGTCCGGAATTACTCTTAGTAACTTTTTGAGGGCTCTTTAGTGGTACCCTCAGTAACTTTTTGAGGGCTATTTAGGGCTATCCTTACTGGCATCCCACCGACACTTTGTAGAAAAAGAGAAGAAAAAGGCTCAGCATTCTTGAAAAAAAGATGATTTTTAATAAAAACTAGGAGAAAAAGAGGCGTACAATTTTCGTTCGAAGAAAACTCAAACCCACCGGCACAATAGTACTCTAAATCAGACGATAGTCGTACGTTATCAATGTGGGTTGAATATGACTTGAAAGAGTAAACAAGAAACAAAACTTTCAATTGTTTACAGAGATTTTTGCGCAACTGCTTATGTATGCATTAGAAAACGGAAAAACATTAGAAAAAGCTGTTAGCGCAATTCCTGAGGGATTACAAATGTGAAACAAGACATAGCTGCTAAAACTAATTTCAGAAGGTATTTTAGTTGTATTAGTCGAGGTACAAACTTTGATTTTTTTGCCACATGAATAATAGTAATAAGATCAGTAAGAAATCTATTATATATTACCGAATGGGGCTATATATATAATGGTTGGTTTCAAACTCAAGAACAGAATGGCTCGATATAAAAACAATTGCCATCATATCATTTTAACTGTAGGACTGGAATATATATATTTTGTTTTATCTACTCTAACAGATGATGAATGTCTGTGACGGTTGCTAAGGAAAGCTGTCACGTCTGTGATGCGTGGTTGCTAAGAATGTCTGTCACGTCTGGGGGGGGGGGGGGGGGGGGGACCAAAATCCCCCCCCTAAAGCTTCAACACTCCTTTTAGGTCGTGTTTCACAAAATAACCTATACTATTTGCGTGGTATCTAACTATAGTATTACTCTGTCTGACTAAGTAGGCACACAGAAATAGAACCGATCAGGATTCATTAAAATATCGTTTTTGCTTTTTGTTCCTTTTTTCGGATGGCTGCGCATGTGAGAAAGGTATTTTTTGTTTTTTCAACTTTTCAGCAATTCTTCCACGATTTCGGTCATTTTTCGCAAGTCAGCTTCACTTTTCCGTTTTCCAGCGTAAATTACTATGTTGATTCCAAAGGTGCCAGACAGCGAGTTTGTGAGGAATCGTTTGATCCCGTGCTATCGAAAACGCTTGGTTTTTCCCAGTGAAATATGATCATCTTCTTGCGTTTCGTAGAAAACGATTTACCTTTATTGGGTAGATTGCATGATCTGCCTATTTTTCGGTGATAAGGGTGTCCCTGTTTGTTGCTATCGTATTCCATAACATCTGATTTCTTCCAAGTATCATCAAACGGTTGTCAATATTAACCGATGTCAAGCAGACACAGTCGCAATCGGAGAAATAAGGCGTGTTGACATCGCCCAATATTGCGATAATATAACTCTGTGATCGTATGTGTACACTGTAAAAAATAGGCGTAGAATAATAAACCCTTCAAAAGGGTTTATCAACCCTCATAAACCCTTTCATAAACCCTTTAGGGTATATGAGCTGTAATATACCCTTGAAGGGTTTTTTTAACTTCAAAAACCCTACTGAAAAGGGTTTGTTAATATACCCTTTAGGAGAAACCGTAGAATAATAAACTCTTATCAGTAGGGTTTTTGAAGTTAAAAAACCCTTTAAGGGTATATTACAGCTCATATACCCTAAAGGGTTTATGAAAGTGCAACGTATAAAATACCCTTCCGAGGGTTTATGAAGAAAAATGGTATATGAAAGGGTTTATGACACAAAAAGGGTTTATGAAAGGGTTTATGAGGGTTGATAAACCCTTTTGAAGGGTTTATTATTCTACCCCTGTTTTCTACAGTGTAGAAATATGATCGTTTATTAACAACAAAGCTCGTCTACGGCTTTCGTTTTATTCTGTATTTGTTCGTATACGATTATATTTCTCCGTGTACGGTTTGAAGATATATGATCGTCCAAAATCTGATTATATACGGAGAAATTGAGGAGGAGAGAGGTTACTTCATTTGACAGTACATCAATTGCGTAACGTAATCTAGCAGTATACCACAGTATCTGTAATCACTCCAGCAATTCTGAAGAATCAGATATTGTTGAATATAACATAAAAAATTTTATCCGTGTCTGATAAGTAGCAGTCTTCAACTTATGACATCATACTATCAGACGCTATCTTGCTGAAGAAATCCCATCGGATCTCACAGGATTCTAGGGTAGGCCTAGCCACCTTGAAAGCTTCTACCCATTTTGACGCATGCGTTACTCTACAAGTTAGCTATCCATAGTTAGATTCACATCACAAGCTTCCCTAAGGCCGAGAAAAACGGTCAAGAAATGTGAGCTCGAGATTATGATTTTACATGTGAATCTTAACCAGAAAAACTTG